CGGGTTTGCGTTTTCTACTCTCAATGCCATCGTCGCTTTCGCCATCACTCTCCTCGTTGTTTTGTTTGCCATTATTTGATTCACCTACGGCAACAGCAAAATTTTTCAGCAACTCCTTCCTATCACCAAAAATTACTTTTTCCATAGGTATCTCCAGAGACTCATTGTGGCTGGCGGTGTGTTTGTTTTTATCATAATTTGCAGGTATTGTCGCTTCGTCCGATTTGCTATTCGATATCAGTTTTTCCTGCATCAATTTGTCATACTCTTCAGCACATTCGAGCAGATCTAGAATACTTTCGTTTTCACTGTCACTCATTTTTAAACTTTTGCAAGCGAATTGCTAAAAATATCCAAAATAATTGTGGCGATATTTGCTAAATCTGCCATGCAAAACATTTGTTTTGGATTTTCGACATATGGGAAATTTGACGTGCACGTGTGTGGATCTTGTGGAATGAGTTTATAGTAGGTTTGTTCCACGAAGGAAAGACACAAGATCACGCGGGAAGGAAAGAAAGAAAAAAGTTATTTTCTAGCTGCCGAAATCTCGACGCCATCTTTGTTGTAAGAAGTAACCAACGAAGAGAACGGAGAAAACCGCGAAATTGTCGAACGCATGAATAATCATTTTTATTATGCAAATTCTTCTATAAATCATGCCGTTGTGTTAAATTATTTTTTATCTTATGTATACGCACATTGTCACAGGCGAAAATGAAGAAAATTGCAGTAAAGAGCCACCAATTGTAAACAACGAAGAAATGTAAACAAACGGCTAATGTCAAAATCGTTAAACCTTTTTCCTAAATGCGATTTTAACGGGCTACTCTCCGTCCCGCGTGATCTTGTATTTTTGGTTCATGGGTTTGTTCCACACGCTTTCCGGGCTGTTTCGATAATTAGAGCGTAAAAAATAGGTTATTTCCCTACAATCCGTACCGGGTCCGGTAATGAAAGAATAAGCGAAAAGTTTGCTCTCGAAAATGAAACATAATCTTGAAAACGGGAACGCAAAAACCACCGAAATAGCCCGGAAATCGTTCCCATACTCCAGAAAATGGGCATTAGAGAGCGCATGCATTCCACAATTGGATCGTAAATTTCTTCTTTCTCGTGTCCGGAATAGCCCGGACTTTTTCTCCGGGCAAAAATGGATAAAGTGTCAAAGTTGCTATCAGCTGTTTTGTGTTTACATGTTACCTGCATTTACTTGGTGCTTTTAAGGAATAATGAATGACCTGTTGATCTACATTTTTGGTAATAAAATTTCCCAGTTACAAATCTTCGGTAACGTGCAGAATAGACGTGTTATTCTCTAATTACCGGATCATAGAATAGAAGGTTACGACATGGTGCTGTCAAAAATTTGTTTTCCTCCAATGACGTAGTTGCGAAGCATGATTCAATAGGTGGAATCCCGTATTCTTCGGACTCGCACTAGTAAATCTGTCAAAAAATAAAAATTCGCTCAGAGCGAGAGAGTAACATTGAAAAGTACGGGATCGCTTTCTAGTAAAAAATGGTAACTTCTATCAACTTCAACATAACCTGCAAATTTTGGTTGTAAATTTTTGCTTATTTTGTATGTAAACACACTCAGCTCACACATGCAAATAACCACAAATACTTTCAAATTCATTAGAATCCACTTAACCAAGTAATTAAATACTTTTCAACATGAATTAGCAGAGTGCACTTTTCTTTTGTTTACAATTTGGTTGCCAAACACACTACAGCTGATCGTTTGACACATTTACCAGCAAAAAATTCTCGGACTACAACTGGTAACTTCTGACAGAGAGAGAACCGTATATATTCTCTTTTTTGTCCTCTCAATAGTCAGAGAACCGAGTACCAAGAATGATAGAATACAAGATTGCGCCAATCGAGCTGAGAGTAACTGGCCGTGACGTCAATAAATACCAGAATGAGAGAGCAAGACGAACTCGACAAGAAAAAGAGGAAGCATCGAACAAAAGTCAGTATTGCCAAGTTTTCAATTTGAAAAAGCACCAAATATTTATTGGTGTATTTTATGGACTTTATATGCATACATAATTATATTGTAAGGATGCCGATTCAAATTAATAAAAATCAATGTTTCTTGCACGACGGTCGATTTTTTCTGGCTTGATTGAAGGTGCTGCCACATATTTTGTTGTCGCTTATGATTGTGCCATGCTTTTATTAAAATTTTTGTGAAGTTGCTTACCACGCTTTTGATTGCTATAAATTTTGCTTCCATTTTTTTAAGATTTTATAATTTGGTGTCTTCAAACTAAAAACAAAAGCACCAAAAACGCACCAAGCACCATACTCAAAAATATTCGGGTTTTGAATATCCACTAAATTTGGTGCGAAAAGTATTAAGTTGGCAACAGTGAATGTAAACAAAAGTATTTTATGACGTCAGCGATGTCATGGGTGGATGCTGTCAAATCGACGATGAGAGGGTTAGCGGTCCGCGAATGGCGCGACCTTTATTTTCTGGATCGTGACCGAGTACGGGATCGATTTCCAGTAAAATCTGATTGATTCGGACTATTTCTGACTAGTCCGGACTCGTACGGGATCGCAACTATTAATAAAAGGTTTCCTTAAAAACACCCGATTTACATGATTCATGTACTTGGAAGCAATTCTTGCTCATTCTCTTTTGTGTTTTCTATTTGTTTCACGTTTCAATTCTGTTGAATTCAAGTTTTTGGTTCTTTAAATGGGAAGCAACGAAAATGCCAAAAGCAAAGCAAGAAAGTTGAAACGACTTGACGGTACAGACGCATGTGTACTCGTCCCTTTTCTTCTCACCCCCTCTCTTCCACATGCGAGCAGAATTGAATTCAATACTTGAACTGTGTAAAAGCAGTCAAAGCAGTTTTCTCGCTCCCTCTTGACAAAATCGGCTCCAAGGCGCATCAATTACAGGTGATATCGATAGAAGCTATTGTGGCGAATACTGCGGCAACACAAAGCGAACAACGAGAAATAGGCAGAATGTTCGAAGAATGACGTAGAATGTTCCACAAAGAGAAACGTCAAGATGGATGAACACTGCGAACAGCGAGAGAAAGAGAATGAGCGATAAACTTCAGAATGTTCTAGAGTTGCCATAAGTGCCAGCGCAGGTATATAAGGGCGTCGTCACAGCGGAGTTGAGTTAGTTACGAATTACAAGTCAGCCAGCTACAAGTAAAGTGAGCAGAGAAGCGAGTTGCGAATAAGCAAGCTATAAGTTTAATTGTGTGTAACAGGTTCAGTAAAGCGTTGTACATGCTTTAACAAGTATTGTAGTGTTTTTACTGTATTAGCAAGTATTGTAAAATTGTTTGTTGTACATAAAGTTAATTGTACTACCATTTGGTCATCGTTAGCATTTATTTAACAATCCAGCGATACGAGCCCGAGTATATTTGGGTAATCCCTCAAGGTTTCGAGGATAATCGTAACACTATGCTTCTTCTTATGAGCACGCTTGTGTCAAATTATCGTCTGTTTTGCATTGTTTACATATTCGCGTATACATACACATATACGTAAATATATACCCTGCAAACAAATGCTATGAGCAAACCTTTAATTATTGAATCATGGTTGCGAAGTGGGTTATGACAGAGAACACCTACAGAATCGCGTACGCGTACGCGTACTATTAATTTTACGTTGAGTTCGTTGGCGCTCAGCAGACTTTAAATTTATAATTTTTTACGAATTGGCCTTTAGTTTCAGGTACGAAAATTAAGGGTTTTCGTTCACGTGAGTTCAGGCAGTTTAGCCGAAACTTTCCCAGATATGTAAAAAACATACCTACTCATTACTTACCTATCAAGAAAAATAAAATAATATGCTGGCGTTTGTTTTATAACTATTTTATTGCCTACAAAATCTCTTACAACTACCATATTTGTTTTGTTTTTGTTCTTTACGAATTATATTTACGAGTATATTGAAGGTTCTGTACATTTTTGGATTGATTGCATTTGTATGTATGTATGTTTATTCGAATAACAATGAATTAAGGGAATAATAAAAATATTAGAATTTGTAACACGTAAACATTAAAAGAAAATGATTATCAAAGCCACAAAAATGTTGCTAATAAGAAAAGTAATATTTACAATATGAGCACTAAAATTACCATTTATTAATATTCTCATTCCCGGTTGCACCAATCAATTTTAAAATTTTCACCCTGTTAAAATTTAAAATGACACACTCTTGTAGAGAAAATTTTTCATTTTAAATTTTAGCAGTGTGATAAATTTTAAAATGGATTTGTGAAACTGGGGATTAGTTTAATAAATTTGAAAAAAAAATACAGGGGCAACTGTATGCCTATATAAAAAATTTAGAAAAAATGTTAGCAGAAAATTTTTGTATAGTTGTAGATAATGCACATAAATAAAGAGGATGTATAGTTTGTATTTCGCCTTTACACGTATTTGCATTTCTTTTTATTAGCATATGCTACAAAGTGACTAAAATGTATGGGTAGATGGTAATGAAGGCAAAATATTGTCACAAAACCGGCAAATTTCTCCTTTTTCTTTTGTTATATATACTGAAAACGAACAGATTTGGTTGCTCTTTTCGATCGTCGCTACAAATAAAAATGTTCATGCCTAGAATTTTTCTTTGCGTCTGATACGTTGATTAATTTGGCAAATTTTTGTGGTAACAAATAAATACTTTCCAATTAATGTATTTTGTGTGTAATTTAAAATAATTGTATGAATCTATGCATGCACGAATATAATGTACAATTTATGTAGGTATGTGTATTTATGAAATATGTATGATAAAATAAGTTAATATCTGTAAAACAAATAACAAATAAGGATGTAAACATACATATATAATTGGCTAACAACGAAAAACTAAAAATAAAAATAAAATTTCAAAAACAAAAGTGAAATCAACCCGAAAATGATGTCAAATTACATTTCATATGCAATTTTCTAAGTATCGTTTGTATGTAGGTGAGTAGTTTGTATGGATGTATATAGTTTCTGCCCAAATATCTTACTTCCGCTTCAATTCCACTGCACAGGGTGTTTCAACTGAACTGGAAAATGCCTGTCTACATGAAA